GCCTGCAAGACAACTACCTCCACCTCCGGCAACTACCCTCCAACCTGCCTGCCCTTGGCTCAACACGATGCCTCGCCATCCATCCTGCGGCTGTGTGTATTAATCCTGCCATCGTGCATCAAGCACCACGTGCCTGCACCGGTCGGCCGCTGCGTTGAGACATATATTTCAACCCCTGTATTAGCTTAGTCATTTCATCTTGTTTGTTTGACTCATCTGCCAGCCCCTGGAGGATGGGCTCCCCCCTTTGGGTCTGGTTCTTCCCAAGATTTCTTCCTCTTAGGGAGTTTTTCCTTGCCACCGTTGCCTTTGGCTTACTCAATGGGGGGTCCTTACGAGGCAGAAATGTAAAGCGCATTGAGACAATGTAATGTTGTGATAATGCGCTATATAAATAAAATTGAATTGAACATAGAAGCAATTTAGTCAGTTATTCTAAGCGCATATGAACTACAGGAAGAAACCTGCAAAATGGGGAAAAACATATGCAATCTTCACACACAGAGTAGAGGCTGAATGCCAACCCTAAACCAGATTTACACAAATAAGAATTACTCCTTGCATGCACTGAAATATTACCCGACACTAAATTACACAGTAATTAAGTGATTAGGTTATAGAACTTTGATATATATTGTTGAATTGAGCAATAAACTAAATAGCCAATATTATTAGTGCGGCATAACTGTTTAGTGTTAACTTAATTCCCTACATTCTATTTTTTGGCACAGGCACGAGCCTAACAGCTGCTTGTTATGGCTGCTCTGAGTTTGCTGCGTTTGTTACGCTTTACCTACTTATTTTTGGCTTGGGTTAGTTTTTATTTTTAAATATCTTGTTGAGGAAGTGATGGCCTTTTTAACCAATGGAGTTTTTATATTTGTGTAGTTAGTGGATGTGTGGATAATACCATCATCTACCTACTGCACCATGCCTACTTTTACCTGGACAAGCCAGGAGATACTGTGAGGATCATGTTTTTTGATTTCTCCAGTACCTCCAATACTGTCCTGTTTGGTAGTACCATCCCTTCTGAGTCATCACATTGTACAACCAGTAATCAGACTGTACAAACAGTAAACCACTTTGAGAACTTGCCATGTTGCCAATTTCTATAAATATCTATCTTTGCGAATCTGCTATCTCAGCAAATTTGTATTTTGTCCACACAGTACTATACCTATTTTCATGTTTACCAACTCATTGCCATTTTCACACCAGAGCATGTGAGCGGAGTAGAGCGGTGAGAATTTCCGCTCCTTGCGCACGAGGCTGTTGGCTCCGCCCACTCCTCCGCTCTAATTCCCCGCTCCACTCAACACCGCTCCTCGCTCCACTAAAATTTCCTCCCACTCCAGTCAAATCACTAAACGCTCGCTCCAATTTAAGAGGGACAAATAATCTGCATGCCTAACAAATGTCACCTTAAACCAAAGCCTTATATCAAAGAAATATGAGCAATGGCAACATTGTCACTCAGAACAGAAAATATTTATTTTAAAACATATAGGCAACAATGGACAGGTTTGGCAATGGCATTCCACACAAAAATAGGCTTAAAAATAAAGGAATCAGTGGGCTTAATAGCCTGCTAAGCATCCACGTTTTAAATTTCTCAATTTTTTTCTGTTGATGCTGCTGCGGCGTCTCTATAAAATGAAATTTCATTGACAGCATTACGTGAAATTAAAAAATCCGATCAGACCTACTTTGAATGACAGAACTCATTTATTTGATTACCAATATTTACTTTATAGGCTTTTATACTTTTATTTACTTTGTAGACTTGATATGCTACAACCATATAAAACTTGCTCACGTTTTGCTCTGGCTTCCGCCTGTTTGCGTAGCACACTCTCATGTTTCTGAGAAAAGCGATTCCGAAGTGAATATTTACTCGCTGAAACAGTTTCACCACATTGTTGTTCTTGCTCAACATTGTCATCTATACGTTTGATAAGAATAGTACACTTGTATGATCTATCAGTTTCCTTTGTGAAATACTTTGCGAATTCCATCTCGGCCGATTTGTGTAACAGTCTTGATAATTGTACTGATGACTTCTGGGTAGATTTGGGCACGCCTCAGAGTCGTAGTGTGAGCGGTATCGGAGTGAAATTGGAGCAAGACAGAGCGACCGCTCCAGCCTTAATTAAAAAACCACTCCACGCTCTGACCAAATTCCGCCCGCTCCGCTGCTCGCTCACGCTCTGCTCACATGCTCCGTTTCACATAGTAACTTAATCACTTCAAATTGTTTTTATATACAAGTGTTGTACACAGCATTGTGTATTTCTACTTTTGCCCTATGTGTATCTTCACACAAATAGTCTGTAACTACAACCAGTTTCTTTCAGGGTAAATGTATTCTGATTCCCCCCTATTAACTAGATTATTGTTGAGCAATAACCCAATGCTACCTATATTAAATAAAAAAAAAAAAAAAACATGCATACGTACACAGTTTAAACTGACCTGAAAGGGGGTATCTGAAGGGCAGGGTCATCAACAGTGACCTTCACTTTGTGACCTGGAAAGGAATCCTTCAGGTGGTCGACAGACAGGAATGTGTCATTAAAATCCAGTGTGGAGATTTGGTTGGGCATTCTGGAGTAGTGGGCGCTGTCTGGGTTCCCATATCCCAAGATGATGTCGTGCAACCATTCTGGGACAACACACTCGGTGTTCATCAAGTTGCGAATGGTTTCCAAGACAGCCTGAATGTATGAGGACAGGAGGAAGATCTTAAATTGGATTGATCCATTCAGGATGTTAATTAAATAAATGTATGCCGAAGAGAAATCATACAAGTTAGAGATGTCTAAAAATACAGTCCCGATCAAAAGTTTAAGACCACTTGAAAAATGGCAATTTTGCATGGTTGGATCTTAAGGTTCCAAGTAGAGCTTCAACATGCAACAAGAAGAAATGGGAGTGAGACAAAACAGTTTTTGAGCATGCAATTAATTGAAAACGATGATTAAACTGAAACAGGCTGTTTTATAGCTGATCAAAATTTTAGGACCACATGCCTTTAAAAGGCCAAATCTGTGCAAAGATGTGGATTCATTGTCACTTTCCGTCAAGTAGTCACACTGTCATGACGTTCTGATGGCAAAGGCAAAAAAAACTCTCCCTTTTTGAACGTGGTCGGGTTGTTGAACTGCATAAGCAGGGTCTCTCGCAGTGCGCCATCGCTGCTGAGGTGGGACACAGTAAGACAGTCATTTGGAATTTCTTAAATGATCCTGAGGGTTATGGAACAAAAAAGTCAAGTGGAAGACCCAAAAAAAAATTCACCAGCACTGAGCCAGAAGATCCAATTGGCTGTCCGTCAAGACACTGGACGATCCTCGACCCAAATTAAGGCCGTTACTGGTGCCAACTGCAGCCCAATAACCATCAGACAGCATGAGACTGAAGGACTTCAAAAACTTCTTCAAAGGCCTAGTCTCCTTGAACGCCACAGAACTGTCCGTTTGGATTTTGCAAGAGAGCACCAAACATGGGACATTCAAAGGTGGAAGAAAGTTTTATTCTCTGATGAGAAAAAAAATTTAACCTTGATGGTCCTGATGGTTTCCAACGTTACTGGCATGACAAGCAGATCCCACCTGAGATGTTTTCTACGCGCTACAGTGGAGGGGGCGCCATAATGGTCTGGGGTGCTTTTTCCTTCAGTGGAACAATGGAGCTTCAGGAGGTGCAGGGGCATCAAACAGCCGCTGGCTATGTCCAGATGTTGCAGAGAGCATCCCTCATGACTGAGGGCCCTCGTCTGTGTGGTAACGACTGGGTTTTTCAACAGGACAACGCTAATGCCCGCAGGATTCTTTCCAGGAGAATAACATCACTCTTTTGGCCCATCCTGTGTGTTCCCCTGATCTAAATCCAACTGAGAACCTTTGGGGATGGATGGCAAGGGAAGTTTACAAAAATGGACAACAGTTCCAGACAGTAGATGCCCTTCGTGCGGTCGTCTTCACCACTTGGAGAAATGTTCCCACTGACCTCATGGAAACACTTGCATGAAGCATGCCGCAACAAATTTTTGAAGTGATCAACAATAACGGTGGAGCTACTCAGTACTGAGTTCATGTTTGGAAGTTTGATTTCTGTTTTGGTGGGGTTTACAGGCTTTTTTGGAGGCGTGGTCCTAAACTTTTGATCAGCTGTAAAACAGCCTGTTTCAGTTTAATCATTGTTTTCAATAAATTGCATGCTCAAAAAAATATTTTGTCTCACTCCCATTTCTTCTTGTTGCATATTGAAGCTCTACTTGCAACCTTGTTAAGATCCAACCATGCAAAATATGATTTTTTGCCATTTTTCAAGTGGTCTTAATCTTTTGATCGGGACTGTATCTACAGACTACAATACTTAACCAAGGTATATAAACCACTTCTGTACATTCTGATGGCTTAGAACAGGGTTCCCCAATTCTGGTCCTAGAGGGCTAGCCTGCAACACAGTTTGCAGATATCCCTGCTCAAACATGTTAAATCAGCTTTTTACCAGGTTTAGTAGGTGTGTTTGAGCAGGGGAATCCTGAGATGAACCATCATGGACTGGAATTGGGGAATCCTGGGCTAGGAAAAACCCAGGAACGCAGCTGAGCAGCATCACTGCCACGAACCTTGAAGTTGTTTTCCTTCGGCTTCCTTCTCATGATGATGTTGAAGGTCTCATAGGGGTCTTCTGCCCCTGTCTGAATGCTGTTTGTCATGTCCTGCTGATACTGATTTGGGTCCAGCCAAACACGAAATGTCCGGGTGTCACCTTTCAGCTTGGGTTTTGGTTCAGGACCTCAATATTGGAAAAAGCACATCATTTTAGAATCATAGCATTGTATTAGCTAATCATTCTGAAGACTCCCCCTAAAGGAATCAAAATTTTAAGTAGGAACTCGCAGAAATGTTTTAACCACTTGTTAATTTATACAACAGCAATCTAACCAAAGGTTACACTCTGCCCTATAGGTATCCCCCTACAGTCAAGCCTACAGCATTCCTGAAATTTATGCTATTCTCTTTGGAAACTCAAAGTTTAGCAAAAACAAAAAGAAATAAGTGCAGCATGTGAAAAGCACAAAAAAAGCAGGGTGCAGCAGATATGCTGCTTTCTGTTACTCGCTGCCTACCGTCCTCGATGACGCGGCCCTTGTCATCCAACATGCCCTGCACTTCGCAGCCCCTCACATACACCAGCCCCGCCTGCTCCACCAACGATTGCCGGCGGTCAAAACGTGTGCCATACAGGAGGTTTGGCTGCACCGTGATGAGGAAGCAAACGTCGTGTTTCCGCAATCCTGAACAGTAGTAGCAATTTACAGAAATGCAAAACTAAGACATGCAAAAAGGATATATTCATGAGAAAACCAATTAAACAGTGTTATGGCTTAAAAAATATGAGCTTTACATTTCACTTGTAAAAATACACAGAGATGTATATGCTCAGTAAAGAACATAGATGTCTTAGTAACAAAAAGGAATGTATCAGAAATAAAAAATGTACCTTCCCATTCTGCTTTGATTTCATTGCGCACATTGAGGTTGATCGTGAAATCGGCTCGAACACGGGCAGGCCAGTTCTCCCCAATGTTGGGCTTGGCCACTTCCACAATAGAAAAGCACAGTATAGTCTGTGCCATTCTAGCCCAACCGCCAAAAACGACACCTCCATACTCCGATTGCCTAGATGGAAAAGGTCAATGTCATCAAGTAGTAGTGAACACATGGGGCCTTGTTAATCAAAGTTACATATGCACAAAAAGATGCCAGAAACGTGTGTATGCTACTTTTCACGCAAAATCCAGGATTTATCAAATAAAACTTGACAGTGCAAAAATGTGTATATTCACAAAAACTCAGGGGCAGACAAACACAACAGTTTGGACATATTGGGAAAAGGCAATACCCATTGGAAAGTAGGAAATTGCAGGTAAACCATCAAAATGACCAAACACACATGCTAACAATTTCATACCACCAACCCGCACTCTAACGTGAAAAAAGGTCAATCTGAAAATGTGAACTGGGATATATTTTTTTATTTTACTGATATTGTTTATTTGTATAGGTTAAACACCATGAATTTGCCTTGGAGAACTGAATTTGCCATTTCAACATATCGTCATCACTTCCAATTAACTGAAAATATCTGTAATTGTCACTAGTAATCAAACTGGGCAGGATCTCAGGCTCGTGTACGTCTGCATTTAGAAGATACTTCAGACATTTCCGAGGGGCACTGCACGTACACCAGGTTTGATAAATGCTTACAGGCCTATATTTTTCTGTGAATTTGCATTTTTTTCACGATAAATGAAATTGAATGAGGCTGCTGGACTGTTTAACTGTAATTTTATTTGTGTTTGTCAAGCTTTTCAAGGAAAAGCAGAAGAACCACTGAAAAAAGTGTGCAAAGCTCACCATGGCTTCATCCGAGACACCACATCCTCAATGTCTTGCCTGATCTCATAGGTGGACTCCAAGCGAAACAGATTGAAGTTTCTTAGCAGGTAGTCATGCAGAGTAAGGAACTGCAGGTTGAGTTTTGGCAATGCTAAGCAACCTGAAAGTTAGAAATATACTCAAGCTATTGAATACGTACACTACCGTTTGCTGGAACTTGAATTTCTCAAACATTACAGCATAAACCTGTAAAATGAAATATAAATACTGCAATAATTTTTTGTATGGCAGGAATATAAATATATTCTTTTTAAATGTCTTCACAAGTACCTTCTCCTGAATAATATTCTGTAGGAACAATGTTCTCATCCCAAATTATCTTCTCTGTTGGATAAAGGGGCATTTGGTTCAGCTGCTCAATCTGCGAGATTCTTCTCTCATGACGAGATACCTATGAACAAGTAACAAAATCGAGTGAACAAATTAGGGCTGGGCGATATGGGTAATTGACAATATCAGATGAGTAACTCGATGTCAATATATGACATTGACTAACTAGCGATTATCGCCTGTGTTGGTGAAACACTTGGTGCTGTGTGTGTGCGTGTGTGAGTGAGGGGGGGGGGGGTGTTGGATGATTCGATACTAGAGGTGCAACGATTATTCAACATTGTTGACAAAAATCGACAATAAAAATAGTCGCCAACGAATTTGATTGTCGATAATTGTCGCCAGATGTATTTTTAAACTGAGTGAGATGTTTTCCTTCCTTTCTACCTGTGCAATACTACCACTTTCCAATAGACTACACCAATACACCACACTGGTGAGATTCGCTCTTGCGCAATAGTATTCAGCAACAGGTAGAAAAATGGCGGCCACAAATCAGGCATCATCGCGTATTAAAGTCTTGGACACATGGTCGCTATGACGGATTTCTGTCAACTGAGTGCACTAAAGGTTAATAATGAGATTTATGTAGATCCGAAGAAAAAAAATAGGTGGCTGGAAAGCCTGTATTTCTTTTGTTTAATTAAGATTGAATTATTCTTCCTAAAAATAAAAATAAACATTATGGTTTCGGCAGTTCGCTTAAACACTGACAGATGCGGAGAAGCCTACAGGCTGCAAGCTATTTCCCGACGCATGTTTAAGATGCCAAAATTCATAGTAAGGAGAAAATAATTCCCCAGCATTTAGTGCTACATCAGTCTCAAAGGCTTTTAATGTCCCAAAACAAAAACGAGATCTGCAAAAGGGTGAATAGCACGGGCTTCTTGTTGCCTGGTGTATCCAATAATAATAATAATAATAATAATAATAATAATAAATAATAACAACAACAACAACAACAACAACAACAGGGCATAATATTAAGCTAGTAGTAGTATATTTTACATTTTCAAAAAAGATCGGAATAGAACGTATTTATGTTTGGAAGTCAGTAGTGCGTCATGAAGCTTCTCATTCGATAATAGTAGCTAAAAAAAGGTCAGAAAACAGTGGAGAAAACCCATTGCTTAAAACGCCGAAGCTCAAGATTAAGGACAGTGGCTCCGATGTCACAAGTGCTGCGAGAGCTTATGCTCCGTTAAAAATAAATAAATAACAGTCCGTTTGAAAATCCTTTGAAGTCCATTTTCTTGCTGTTAACAGAGGAATGGCAATGGGAAGCTGCTCTAAATTTCCCGTATTTTGGGTTGGGATTGTGGGATTTTTCAGCCTGCTTTAAAATGAGTTTTTATTTGTAAACATAGGCTATATAAATAGCCGATATGACAAGAAATTACCATGCATTTTAACCTGTATACCGCAAATGAAGTACGCATTAGTATATACAGGTTAAAATGCATGATAATTTCTTGTCATATCAGCGCAAATGCACATAAAATACGTACACATTTGCACTGTCACAGCAATTGATTGCCGCACGTATCGCTTTTAAAAGTTGAATGCGTACTTGCGTACCAGTTATATGCAGCCCTGATTATAACAAAGATTGTATAAGAAATTCGGATCAGTATCGGTGCTGATCCAAACCTATTTGACGGATCGGGTATCGGCCATGTGTGACCAATCCACGTCCTATACTTACTTAGCTAGTTTTTGGCAATCTCTATAAAGATAGATTTAACATGAAATAGGGACTATCTGCACAATCAATTGCACGACAGCTCTTTCCCATTTTACATGTGTTTTTTGGGCATTCAAGTCGAGCAATAACCTCATGCTAAATGTAAAAGCTGGTAGCTAAATAAGAGTCATTTTATAATTATGCAATTTATAATCTGATTAGTCGACTAATCATTTTAATAGTCCATGACTAGTCGACTCACAAAAGTCGTTAGTTGTAGCCCTATTCAATACTATCAATATTTAAAATTTTACTGCCCAGTCTTACAACAAATACATCAGCCATAAATTAAGCAATAAAGGTCACATCATAGATCACTATCATACCATTTTTATTTTGAGGAATACACTAATTTAAAGGCAACTACTTCGGATAGAGCTTCACAATATAGAAGTACTGCTGCAACTTCCCTACAACTAACATTAAGTCTTCATGATACAACAGACCAAACCTTGAACTTAAATAATCTTACTTTTCCCTTTTAATGTGGGAATACAAGGTTTTAAACTGTGAAAGCTGCTATATCATTATACTAATTCTCTAACCTACTGTCAAACTGATTTAACAAGTTAACTGATTTAAAGTTAACATCAAATGTACAGAAAAAGTAGGAAGAAATACTAGCTTTGGAGTAACCATTTTGGCTAAGCTTTCTATCACACAATAAAAATTCCAGGTTCACAAATTGAAACTGGTTAAATTTTTAATCTGTTTTCTTCTATTTGAAAATACATACTGAAATCAATAGAACCAATGCATTTTACATGCTTAACTTCATAAACTTGTACATAATCTTTGACCTGGGTCTGGCCCACAAGCCAGCTTTTGTCCAGGTGAGCTATAAAGGATGCTCTTCAGCCATCACTCACCAGCATTTCAAAGAGGAACTCGCTGTCATTGGTAGTGTTCTCTCCTTCTGACAATTCTGGTAAGAGACAGAGGTAGGCTGCCACCTGATGAAGTGTATTGGGACTGCAGGAAGGAAAAACATCCGAAATTGACATTTCTTACAATGAAGATCCATCAGGTCTGGAGCCTGTCCTGAACCTGGACACAAGGCCACGAATAACCCAAGATGGGGCACCAACCCATTACAGGGCACATATACCTATGGGGAATTTGGCAATTCTAACCATAACATGTTTTTGGACTGTGGGGAGAAACTGGAAAATCTGGAGAAAACCCCACAACAACACTGGAAACAATGGTCCCAGAGGTGTTAGGGAACATTAAAACATTAATTAATGGTGCTAATCGCTGCACCACTCTGGCACCCCTCAAAATGAAAAGCCAATTAAAAATAGTGTGTTTATACTACAGTCATGTGCATGAGCAGAATTCTGAAACCAAATGTATGGCAGCACTGTGGCCAGATCCAATAGCCTGAAGGCTTTGATACTCTTGTTACTTAAGGATGTCATCGTATATACTAATAAATAAGCACATCAAGGGGCATTGCACTCTGTGGCAGACTGAGTTTACGCCTTCAGCTTTTCAAATCACACAATATACCCATTGACCACATTTGTAATTCATTCAAATTAGTCTACCAACCAAGTCTTGGAATAAGAATGTTCATTATGTCATGGTACCTAAAGAAAGCCAATGTATACTGCTAGACACACATTTTTGTACTGGTATTTAAATAAATAAATAAAAAGGTGACATTCTGACTCACTGCAACTGCACAATGCTCCCAGCTTTAAAATCAGTGATATTCCACAGCTGCACAATGCTCTCGGCTTTAAAATCAGTGACATTCTGACTCGCTGCAGCTGCATAATGGTTTCTATTTTTAGATTTTGTAAATCAATTAAAAATAAGGAGCCTGAATAAATCTTCCTGTTTTGTAGGAAGGCTTAAAGATTCCAGAATTTAAAAGGGCTGTCCCTGATTTCCCCCAGAATGTTATAGCAAATTAATGTCAGTAATAACATGTGGTATTATTTATGAGAAATACCTGAGAGGACCAAAGTGCTTTATGAGGGACTCGCGGGTATCCACTGCTGCCACGTTGGATAAAGCAAAGTCCTGAAGCTCAGGGAAATGTGCAAACGCTGCTCTCTGAAACACAAAGGTGCATGGTGTTAAACCTGCATTGACTCTCTTGGCCCTCATTCACAATAACATGCAAACAGCTAAATAAAGAGCAGTCGGCATTATAACACCATAACTAACCTGCAGAGATGTGATTTGGTCATAGTGTAGATTTGTCATCTCTTTCTCTGTGAGAGCATTCCCTGTTTGGTCATTTATTTCAAAGCCGGTGTAGAATTTCAGCATATCCAAGAGCTGAATACACAGATTCACATTAAAACATTAGCACAACTCACATTACCCACACAGAGCTATGTGCAAGGAATACTGCTGTTTGCAGCTTTTTCAGACTGGATATTCGGCGAGAATCAGTAACACCAAAACTAGGCTGTTTTGTTCTGCTTTCAAATAAATGTGTTCTTTAAAATCACCTAGGAAGTGATAAGCCTCTGATTTGTCGGGATCGGCAAAAAGCTTATTTCTATACCTTGCTGCTAAAAAATGACCATTTTAAAACTGATGTGACCCAAGGGAAAACGTGCTTCCCATTACACAGCTCAAAACACACCAAAAAACTAGAAAAGATACTGTAGCAATGACAACAATGTATTCCCTGGATAGCTCCGTCACCCCCACATCTGCAATTTCTAGAATTACAAGGACCAACTGGATATGTGAAAGTCAGTTAAGGTGTTTTACCAATACTCTGAGTTGTAGTTTTGACACATAACTTTGAACCACGGCTATTCATTTATTGCACACTCCACTCACATGCCAATTTGAACAGGTTTCCCCCCACCAATTAGATGGCTAACTATTTCTTAATGTATGTCCTAATGTCCATGTCTTGTTATTTTTTTTTTATATATACACATCAGAGCATGTGAGCTGAGTGGAGCGGTGAAAATTTCCACTCCTCGCTCACGAGGCTGTTGGCTCCGCCCACTCTTCCGCTCTAATTCGCACTAAGCTGCTCTGCTCAACACCGCTCCTCGCTCCACTAAAATTTCCTCCTGCTCCATCAAATCGCTCCACGCTCGCTCCAATTTAAAAGAGGGACAAATAATCTGAATGCAAATAAAGCATCTACGTTTTAAATTCCTCAATTTTTTTCTGTTGATGCTGCTGCTGCGTCTCTATAAAATAAAAATTTCACTGACAGCGTTACGTGAAATTAAAAAAATCCTATTAGACCTAGTTTGAATAACAAAAAATTATTTGATTACCAATATTTACTTTATAGGCTTTTATACTTTAATTTACTTTATAGACTTGATATGCTACAACCATATAAAACTTGCTCACGTTTTGCTCTGGCTTCCGCCTGTTCGCGTAGCACACTCATGTTCCTGAGAAAAGTGATTCCAAAGTGAATCTTTACTCACTGAAAGTTTCACCACATTGTTGTTCTTGCTCTACATTATTGTCATCTATACGTTTGATAAGAATAGTACAGTTGTATGATTTATCAGTTTCCTTTGTGAAATACTTTGCGAATTCCATCTTGTCCAATTTGTGTAACAGTCTTGATAATTGTACAGATGAATTCTAGGTAGATTTGGGCATGCCTCAGAATCGTAGTGTGAACGGTATCGGAGCAAAATTAAAATTCCGCCCGCTCCGCTCACATGCTCTGCTATACATCTAAAAAAATTCATTACCCATGATAAATTTTGCAGAACGAAAATCAGTAAACCGGAAATATTACTGTAATACCGCTCAAACCTACCCTACACACTCGCCCTACCTCTTTATTGTACAATTTGTCTGAATGTAATTAGATTCACCAGAACTGTGACTGTTTTTTCATGTTTTGATTAAAAGTAGGGTTGATTAGAAGTGAGATTATTAAATCCCCCCCACAAATTTCAGTGAGCGGTGTGTGTGTGTGTGTATGTGTGGGCTTGCATAGATCACATTTGAGGACCAAATTGTCCCCAAAGTGTAGTAAAACCTCAAATTTTCCTACTTTTGGGGACATCTTTTGAGGTCTCCATTTGGATAACCTCAGTTTTTTAAAAATCTGTGAATGCAATCAAAAAAGTAAAAATGCCATTGTATTTGGGTTGGTTACTTATGGTGAAGGTTAGGGATGGGTAGGGGTTAAGGGTGTCGTGACTGGGATTAGAGTTTTTCCCATAGAAATGAATGGACGGCCCCCATTTAGATAGGAAGACCAACTTTGTGTGTGTGTGTGTGTGTGTGTGTGTGTGTAATTTTAGAATATTAAGAAAACCATCGTGTCCCACAGTTTGAAAACTACTGACATGCACGATGTTTGAATGAACAAACAAATAAATAGATCCATCATCCTTTCAGATGCACTGTACATACAAGATGCCAGCTGCATGCCTATCACTGCCACTTCAATTTGGGGGCAATTTGTCTCATGGTTAGATGTGCAGGTGAAGATTATCATCCATATAATAATTTTTGTGAAAGTGGCAATCAGAGCCAATAAAGATTAAATAAAGAGTAATTGCTAAAAGATCCATTTTTAAGCACAATTAAATTACATTGTTACATAATTACATTTAAAATTGAATTTAGTAAAATTGCGTGAAATCCATGGCAACCCACATCACTTCACCTGGCAGAAAAGATGCCCTTCATTTTCTCTTCGGGTAAGACCTGAGAGCTGACACCTGACCACCAAGTGAGAGTTATCCAGCACGGCGTTGAACCATCGGCGGGTTGGAAGCTGAGCCTAGCAGCACATCACAGATAAAAGCAAACCATTAAGCATAATAATTGCTAGGAGGCAGCCAAAACATTAAAATTACTGCATCTAAGGCTGCTGCCGTCATTAGAATAAAATTGATTAAAAGAAGGCACTGCATACATTACATAGGTAACATTTTCAATGACTATTCAGTCCTGAATAGTCTGGCCAAAAGCATTATTTATATCACAGTTGGAAGTGACAAACATGTGACAAAACATTGTAAAACATTGTGCTAGAGATATAAATGAAAAAAAGCTTTTTACGAAAAATGATTTGCCCAAAATTATTCATACTCTCTCAATAATCAATGGCAAAGCCTTTATTTGCCATCACAGCAATCAATCAGTTATAATTGCTAACAAGACTTTTGTATGTCTCAGCTGGGATTTTGGACCACTCCTCTTTAGCAAAGAGTTTGGGGTCTTTGAAGTTGGAAGGCTTCCTTGCCATCACAATGGAGGGGTCATTTCTGGCCTCCTACTATGCCCTTTAAGATATTTTTTCCCCCCCACAGTGTTGAACTCCTTGTACTTTGATTATCCTTTGCATTTTGGCCAATGGCACTAAAAACACTTGGATATGGCTTTATAGACTTTCCCCAACTTGTGAGCTGCCACAAGACCTCACTAAGATCTGTCGTTTGAGACATGACTTGCAGTTGACTAGTAACTGACTAGAGAACTACTGCATCAGCTGTACTCATTTTATAGTTGATTAGAATGCTCTAGAGCATGGCAGTAATTACCAAGACCATTGAAAAGTATAGAAGCTTGCATTTTCTCAAAAAATAGCTCAATTTCAAGGGGCATGAATAATTTTGCACATGGCATTTTTCTAAAAAATGTAAATAAAATAAATAAATGATTAATAACTTTTTGTTAACTGAAACACAATGGTTTACCATCACATACTAATGTCATTTACAGCCAGATGAAACCTATTGGTTCAAATAATTCACTGAGGTGGGTCAGTTTCGGAAAAAGTCTAGGATCATTTTTAATTCCAGTCCAGCCCTGAAAGGTAGGTATACCACTAGGGAGAAGGGGTAGTGTCCCCTACTACTGACTTCCATCAAACTTGTTTTTGTCACTTTAGTTTTGTACAATACAAAAATGAACTCCTTAATATAATTTTGTTACATTCCCACCTCAAGGTCAATCATTAACTCAAGGAACCTCTCGCAGTAGTGAACTTTCTCCATCGAAACTTCTCCTGAAATGGAAAGTGGAAACAATGCAAAATCACTTGCCTTATTCTTAAAATAAATAAATAAATAAAAGACTACCGCATGCATTCCCCAGTCAAGACAAGATATGAATTTTTCCAAAGCATAAGCTTCTACTAGGACTGCACAATATTGATACTAGTACCAATATCGGGTTTGATACAGTGCTCATGTACTTGTACTCATCCTCGTGGCAATGCACTAATGCCTATGACCACATAACACAACATGCAGCAAACACTAGCAGGGAGAGAGAAAGAGCTTTTTTCACTGCATGAGGATTAGATTAGGTAGTTGGATTTCTTTTCTAAGGTGGTGTGTGGCATAAAAAAAAGTGTTTACTGCATTCGAAGGTTTAAGACTGTCCCCAACAAAGTTTTTCAAATCATAATTATATCTGATTTATTGTGTTAAAAAACCAAGTGTCTTCTACAGCTGTAGTTTCCTTCCTTTGCTGCAACATAGCACTACTGTTTTATTTGAGAAATAACAGGTGTAGATCTTCATCCATATAATGTTTTTGTAAAGCATTAATAAGATCCATCAAATACTTTCTGGCTTCCAATGGTCAAATATTGTTCCTGGTTTGGGAACAGCTGTGTGAAGGACCGGAAAGCCCTCCAGAAAGTGATCCGGGCAGCTGAACGCTGCTGCAGGTTAGCTCTCCCCTCCATGCAGGACATTTACATCAGGAGATGTAAGACTAGGGCAGATAGGATTAAGGACTTGTCTCACCCCAATAACAGACTGTTCAAACTCCTGCATTCAGGCAGAAGGTTCTGTGTCATTATGGCCAAGATGGAGAGACTCAGGAGTTTCTATCCCCAGGCAATTCGACTCCTCAATCAAGACATGCCACTCTCCCGGTCATAGTGCTATGGTTATTAGTTCAACCTTACACTGCTGTGCTGACACTGCACTTTAAACTGGCTATAAGCATTTTTTGCACAGTATTTCATTTCATCCTGTAAATTGTATACTCTCTTTGTAAATTCATAGGTTATTTCTTTTTTCTGTTTTGCACTCTAATTTATTTACAGTCTATTTTACAATTTAGTTTCTTTGTTATTTGCACAAAGTATGAGCGGTTCAGGATACATTTCACTGCATGTTGTACCTGTATAACTATGCATGTGACAAATAAAGAATCTTGAAATATTGTTTGCTAAAAGATTAATAAAATGGCTTTTCAGCTTACATATTAAACCATCTACAGTGGCGGTGAAGGCAGACTGGTGCCAAAACCATATGCATTCTCTGAAGTCCAGGGATTATCATTACCTGATGGTGAGAGAGATGTCAGAACCCCAAGGAATTTTTTAATGAGTCGGGAAAGAAATGTTCGCTGTTCATCAGCCCTGAAAACAAATAGTAAAATTAGCACCAGCAAAATTCGCTCAGTAATTATGCAAAGATGACGCAGAAAGACTGGATTGCTTACTCTTCAAAGGCCTTCTCATCCATTTTATCATAATTCTTCTTTATTAAAGCCCAGAATTTTTTCAGCTTTGGCACCTTCAGTTCTTTCTGCAGTCTGGCCTGTAAAGTTCACAAGCATGTTTAATTCGGAACATCTCAGATCTTCCACATGCAAAAGGATCATCATTCACAGTTACTAGAAGATGAAAAACCACACACTTTCACAATCACATCAACCAAATGCGGGAGGGGAAACTACATTTAACAAAAAAACAGGGGCAAACATATGCCCTCTTCAGAAAATCTAATTAGCAAAATACATTCATATTTTACTGCTGAACTGCAGTGCCTTTATTTTTACATTTTGTGTTGCAACATCACTGCTTCCATCATCTTTGCAAAAGAAAAGGATAAGCCAATGTACAAAGCTAAACCACTGATATGTTCCATGGTTTCAGTGTTGCTAGACTGGGATGGTCTTTGCCCAATCTGACTGAATTTGACTGGATTGTGCAGGTAATATGTGCAACTGAATTTAACCAATTGGCAATATTGAATTTAACCAACTAAATAAATGGGACTCACTAAAAATGAAAAAGAAGAAACGTTAAAAAAAATAATAATAATTACTTATAATAACAAAATAATAATTATGAAGGTCTTATAGCAAAAAAAAAATCAGTTCGAAAAACTCTATAGCAAGGATATCTATAGCAGTTTAATACAAAAAAGATTGTGTTAGCTCATTATTTTACTATTTATTCAAAAGACTGGCTACTACAATAACCAAATAAAGCCACACATATTCTAAGAATTTGTTTCACTATAGCCTTTAGTTAAATATCTGGAATGTTCCCAAGAGTTTCTGGGCGCAGCGTGTGGCTCAGACGGCTAAGCCTCTGTGCCTGTAATTGGAAGCCTGCTGTTTCCAGCCCAGCCAGAATAAGTCACGTTTGTGGGCCCTTGAGTAAGGCCCTTAACCCCCCGAGCTCCATGGGCACCGTTGCACATGTGTGTTTGTGGGTCACGGAGTGCAAGATGGGGTAGGTCGAAGAGAGACTTTCCCCCAAAGTCATCAATATAGAGGGGCAGGGGACATCAAGTCTCTGCATGCCAGTGGTAATAATATACTTCAGCCCATTTCATTATAAATAAATGTTTTAGTTCATGTATTTTTAGGAGATCTTGGTTAAATGGCCCAATTCAAAGCCTGTATCACAAAGCTGAATTTCTCATTTAGCCAGACAACAGGTCAGATTTAAGGTACCCCAGTTTAAACTGACTTTCTTTGTTCTCTTACATTTAGCCCAGAATACTTTAGATATGACAAGTTATCCTGCTAAGCAAGAAATCCTGCTTTGTGATACAGGCCTCAAATCAAACCACAACATTTCAAAGGGACCAAGATCAGGACTTTAACTTGGCCATGCTAAAATATAGAATGTCTTCAGCTGGCGTGCCTTTGCACGGATCTTTGTAGGAAAACATTCGTAAGTAACAAAGCAAAGGTGCTGAATTTGTTCCATCTGTAAACAATCTGCACAAATGTATTTTATCTATCTATGCCCCAATCTTCAGTTATACGGTAACACTATACTTGAGGGGCACAAGTAAAGTAGCAGTTCAGTCTTAGTTTCTGTTTGTTTAATGCATCAAGCAAGTGTTAGTTCAAAGCGATCACTAAGCGGTAGCAAATTGGCACTTGATCACTATTTGTGAACTGTTCAAAGAAGAGACTCAGTCGCAGTTGCATTGCAGGTTGGACCATTCGGCGACTCCAAATCCTGCAGTGTGAAATGAGCTACAGCCAAGGAGAGCGCAAGACACGGGTGAAAGGAAAACCAGGGGCGGTGTTTAAAAAGAAAAAAAAAATTTAGTAACTGTTCTTTAGTGTTCAAGGAAGAGGTATTCAGTAAAAGTTTACTGTTACAGTTGTGTTTTTGGATGCGTCACTAAAGTCCTGTGTATACAGGAGTTAATTTGCCACGCATTTCTAAATGTAGATCATATGCAATCATTTGATTAAGGCTGTTTTAACAAGTTGTTGTGGATTGACACTAAATTGTACAATAGTCATTTCCCCATATCACGTCTCACATAGTTTGGAAACCAGACAGACTCTTTGAGGATTCCTCATGGTGAAATATCTTGTAGTGTGTGACCCCCCTCTCTCTGATCAACCATGTTGTATGTAAACCACGACAACTAAGATTCCCGATTACAAGACAAGTAGTATAGTGTGAATAGTACAACAATCTAACGAAGAAAGTTACGTAGCGTGAACTTAGCATTAGTTACTTGTGCCCCCCCAAGTAAGGTGTTACCAAATATCCTTTTGTTAGACCAGAAATGGTCTACAACTCTTCTGAGCTCCTCTGAAATCTCTTTTTTTTTTTTATTAACTATAATGCACTCATACAGAATTCTTTTGTGAGGAGCAAACTAAATTTATGTGCATGCTGTTCATTTTTTAAAAGCCAGCCATGTAGGTGAACCCACAGAAACTGATCACAATACCCGATTCCAATTATCTTTTCAAGGCCAATATTCAAGAGGCTCATACGCTTTTTCAGTTTTACAACTATTTGTAAAAGAAGACTGCCTATATTATACTATTATTAGGAACATTACATGACATTTTTGGAACAATTTATGTAGAAATCCAGATAATTTCACATGGTTCACACACTTTGCATGTAATCCCAACTGAACATTTGTACATTCTAGCATAGACCAGACAGACACATTACTCACTGGAATCAGGCAGGTCCACATAGGCAGGCAGACAAGCTTCTGTACTTGTTCTCTAATCAGGTCTACTTCCTGCTCAAAGAAAGAGCCAAGAGAAGAAAAACTTGAGGTAAAACAGTGTTACTGCACGTGTGCGCGCGCATGCACACACACAAAAAAAAAAAAAAAAAAAAAGCCTTTTCAGATTTATATAACGGTGCACACAGAGTATAAGGGGGAAAAAACGCAGATATATTATTATAGTGATATATTATGCATAAGGATAAAATTATGGAATTGCTCAGTGTTGAGAAAAATAAATTACGAAATCATCAACTGAAAACAATCACAATTAGTATTTGTTACTCCTCCTCGGACTTTTATGCTGGCCTGCATTCTGCATTGAAACAATATCAAGCTGGTTCCAACTTTCCTGAATAGCAGTTGACCGATCATCTTTGCAGGAAGGACATTTGTCATGGACCAATTTATTATTTTAAAAAAATTTCCACCATACATTTGCAATCGGACCTGTCTGGCATATTGCATATATTAAAACATTTTTACATACATGGCACCCCCAAGTTCAGCTTTACAAGGGATGACAAATGACGCAACATCCTTATGTTCTAAAATATCAAATAAAACACCATAATACATTAATTTCCACTAGCAGCATCCTAAACAATTCCTAAAAGCATTTGAATTTTATTTGTATAGCGAATTTTGACATTACATTGTCTAAAAGCACTTTACATTATCCCTACCCAAAGCAGATACACATACCAGGCTGTTGAAACAGTGGTCAAGGAAGAGCAACAACACTGTCTGCTCTTGTAAGGATAAACCGGGTTTGTCTTCAGTTACTAAAACTTCCAACACCCGATTGAAGAAATATGGGAAGTGCTGGGGTTTCCTCTTAAAAACCTGGACAAACAGGTGGTGGCGTTGGGGAGGGGGTTGACCAGTCGGTGGGGGAATAAAAAGAATTACATGTCAGAGAGATAGATGATTTATATACATGCAAGCACGTGCACGCACACACACACACACACTACGGAAGTGCAGAAAAAACATACCATTTTCTCATGATAATGGAATACATTCCCCCAAGATCTCTTTACTACTTCAATGTAAACTGAAGTGCATAAAAGCTATAGTGCAATTAAAATTAGTCTATGCAGCCATGCTGCTAAATTATTTAATAAATAGAAACAATGTCAGTATCTCAAGAAAATGAACATCATTTCCTCATGATGATGGAATAATTACAAGGACACAAATACAGCCTAATGTTTTGTATTATACAGCCACAGTGCATCATTGGTGGAGGTATTCTGTATGGTATGAAATGGGAATATATTGATCAGAGTCACATTTCTGTTCAAACAACACTTGATTCAAGCTGAAATAGCTTTATACCTTGCTTTGGAAAACATGCCTTGTCTCTTTGTTGCACAGCTAATCTACAGGCATAATTCCCTCTCCACAGAAACAGGAAGGGCTTTGATGCCCACAAGTAATAGTACTTATTTCGAAGCTGTGTTGTAAGATTGACGACAATGTAAGGATGGCGGGGGTGTATAATTTTGGTTTAGTTCATGATTAATGTATTTTATTTATGACCTATATAATAATCAAATTCATAAAACTTAATTTGTAGTATGATTATATGAAGCGATGCAAATAATTTCAGCATAATTTAATAAGGCTTGGATTCAAGAAAAAGACCTGTCAAAATCTGACTTTGGACATCATGTTAAAATGCGCTTGGCAGATACACAGCTAGATGTATGCATCCTTTCTAAAACACAGGTGTTACTCATGGGGGGGAAAAAAAAACATTTGTTATAATGTCCAGTTATATCAAGAAAATTCCCTACCTCCCATGCAGGAACATTTTCCCGGAATTTCTCATTCACAATGCAGCATATGGACATGAGATAGGCATTACTGGATACATCAGGGGTGTAATTCACCCACAGGTAGTTTTCCAGATACTGACTAAAACAGAGACAAAACACATTATACACAGTGTTGTGTAGTGACAGATTACATGTAATCTAACTACAAAAACCAAGTAATTAGATTTTGTACTGTATGAAACATAATCATTGTATTCCCCAGACAGTCAAGGTGTAGTCATCCCACTTATAGCTCTGGAAAAAAATTGGGACCACTCTATATATTATTTTTTTTTAAATCTGCATTAAGTCCAGGTTTAACCTTGGTTTTGCTGGCAGAATGCTACACTGTGGGGTAGTCTGCTTCCAGGATCAAAGTTTCTAAGACAGCAGCACACAAGAACAAGTTGAAGCAGGAGACAATGGGAATGACCAAAAACCAGCCAGGAAGAGGGCAGTAGCAACCATCTGATGTCAAAGATGACCGTCAATTTATTTGACAGTTCTTCATAAATGGTAACCTTCCAAAGGAATGGGAAACATTAAGTCCAGGTGTGAAGTGCACCGCTAGAACAGTGAATATCAGGCTTCTAGAAGCAGGACTGAAGTCCCATAAAGCAAGGAAGAAGCATTTTATTAATGAAAAATAGAAGAACCATGCTGAAGTTTGCAAAAATATATATTTTCTCCCCACAGATACGCATCCATAAATTGAGAAATGAAACAAAAAAAAATATGCTGTGTTCGCTTAATTTTTTCCAAAGCTGTATGATAATTTGAAGAATCTTTCCCCATCAATTAGATTGTATTTATTTGTGTATGTTTGTAAATTATTTATATTAATGTTTAAATATTTGTATTGTATTTATTACTCTTTAAACTAAGAACATCATCAAGCTCGTTTGGGGAGAACTTAAATAGCTCAGAGTTGTTAATTTTATCTAGCTCTGATTTAAAGGAACCCAGGGTTTTAGCCTGCACTACTTGAACAGGAAGACTATTCCATACTCTAACTACACGCTGTGTAAAAAGGTGTTCGCAAATTCAGTTTAAAATGTTCTCCCGCCCACATAACTAGGACCAAAATTTTCTGTAGCATAAATGCAGACCCCCTAGTGGAGTACAAAGGAACTGCAGGGGGGGTGTTGGTGCCATATTTTTTCAGATTGAAAGTGGAATCCCTAATTGCTGGTTTCTGTGACTGTAAGCAGTCAGGGGTTCTACTAGATGGTGTTCAAACAATTTTGCAGTCTACAGTTTTAGTTGGCACAAGTTCTCGGCAGAATTTACATTAAACAGCATAAGTCTGTTGCATGTTGAATTTTAAATTGCCAAGGTACCACTATGCCACTGTCTTTATACCTTGTTCATTCACAGTATATACTTTAAGATTCACAATTTTTATCTGTAACATAGATGAATATAGAGGTACAGCAGCAGTGAAAATTTCCGTTACTCCAAACTGTGCAATAATAAAGATAGAAGGATAACCAGATAAGAATAAATAAAAAAAAATATATAAACATATAACAAAGTATATAAATGCAAAGATAAGGAATAAGAAAGAAAATATTCACCATGCAGGTCATAGCTTATTTAAAAGGTATTGTAGGTGCTAAGCTATCACTTAATACACCGACACTTGAAGTTTCCTCTGAGGGAATGCTTCTTTTATCCAAAACCGTAGCATGTGGTAATAAATAATAATAATAATAATAATAATAATAATAATAATAATAATAGGGCTGTCAAAAATAACACGTTAACGACGTTAATTATTTTTTTGTTGTTAATTACGTCAATTTTTTAACGCATTTCACGCATGCGCAGTGTGACAAATTATTTGTCAGGAAAGTGGTTGGGGAGCTAAAGGCGAGATGGAGCAAGGTGGGCCTATGGACGGATTCAAATATAAAAAGAATGATGATGGTACAGGTAACAAGTACAAGGTTTTTTGCAAGATTTGTAACAAGGAGTTTCATTTTCACCGGAGCTGTTCAAGCTTGAGGTACCATGTCAACGCCAAACATGCGTTTGCTGGGCCGTCAAGTTCAGCAAGTGGTTTGCGCCAGACCACGCTGGATTTTCGCAGGCCATTAACAAAATCAACCTCAGATAATTTGACCGACACAATAGCAAAAAAAATGGTTAGGATTCAGCTGTAGTTGCAAATAGTGATTAATCCTGATTAATCCACTGAAAATTCTGATTAAAAATTTTAATCATTTGACAGCCCTAAATAATAATTATAGACACTTTTATTAATCCCCGTGGGGAAATTCTTTTTACACCTCCCTCAACTTGCTCTTTGTAGAGCAAGCTGTCTGCAAAGGGCAGCCACCTGTAGCGGCGCCCAGGGAGCTGGGGGTTGAGGGTCTTGCTCAAGGACCTGCAGACGTGCTGAGGATGGGCTTGAACCGGCGACCTTGTGATTACAGGCACACGGCTTAGCCCACTGAGCCACACACTGCCCCTTGGTGTGCTCTAGTGGTGTGCTCTACTGCTTATACACAGCACCAATAGTTATAAGCGTGTATAACCATTAGTGCTGTGTATAAGCAGTGGTGGCTAGATTACTTTTCAGAAGTTAACTGGTACAGATTCCAAATTACAAGACTAAAATGTAATCAATTGTCAGATAATTGAAAATATTCAATTTAGGTCCAAACACTTACCTAAATTCCAGTAGCATGATTTTTCTGATTGCAAATCTAAATTATACACATAAAAAAAAATCATTTCCACTCTGCAGCAAGTAAAACCTAAAGTTAAAAATTACTACAAAACAGTTCAGTATCGCTATAAACTGCATATTACAAATATATTTTTATCATACTATGAAACCTTGATATTTTTTGTATACTTACTTGCACTTCAGAATTTCAGTCAGATAAATATCTTCTATCACCTGAGGAAAAAAAAACACATTTAGATGGAGCAGAGAAGTTTTGCTAAACTGAAGCCACAAAATAAGAAACCTACCTTCAGATCGAAAGGTAATTTTTCAGTGACATGGGGTGCCCAGTATTTATTAGCCAACTGCAGAAGGAGAAAAAATGTAATTGATTTAGTAGCACATTGTGGACTCACTCATACTGTTCTGTCTCACTTGTAATGTAGTGTTTGAGGTCTTCATCTGGTTCGTACTTGTGTGGTTGTAGTGGTTTTTGCATTTTATCTGTAATCTGTAGTAAGATAGTGGAGGAATTCAGCAGTTTTGTTGACCAGGATAGTGTCCATCTCTCAGAGTCATACAGCAATAAAAGGAGCAGTAGGACTCTAAAGACTTGGACCTTCATCCTCTTGCAAAGATACACACACCCCTTTCCAGTGACTTCATGACCCCCATGCTCTCACAATCTGTCTGCTGACTTCATAGGAAGAGTCACCACAGACACGAATGTCACTGCTGAGGCAAGTGAGCCTCTCAACAAGGTCAACATTCTCCATGCAGACAGACACACTACTGATGGCCATGCCCAAGAAGTCATTAAAGGCCTGGGACACAGGAATTGCAAGTGTCATGGACTTGCACGCTCAGTCTATTTAGATCCCCGATGAGAGCCTCCATTGATTCTGCGAAGATCACAGCATCGTTGGCAAAGTCAAGATCAGGACATTGGACCTAGGGCTTCACCATATATTAAATACTGTGGAAACTGCTTTGCGTGATGATGGTTATAGCGAACAACCGCTTATATGAAATCAAAAAGCTTGGAAAAGAATCATTCCTGTACAGACACTCCTCTACTTACGAACGAGATACGTTCCGAACGGCAGTTCGCAAGTACAAAGAACTAACTGGAGTAGCAGCCAGAAGTTGTATTAGGCGGAATTGGCATGCAGAAAAGAAAAATTGATGTTGGGGACAGGAAACGGGAGCCCAATGAACACAATTTGGACTTACAGTCCTCTGCATGTCTGAAAGTTCGTAAGTTGAAAGTTCGTAAGTAGAGGAGCTTCTGTACTGTTAAAATCATTCACATAGTAATCAGGTATTCCACTTAGTGTTCATTTAGGTTTTTTTTTTTTTTTTTTATACATGACATGAAAAAAGAAATTACTTTGATAGCCCTACTTTGTCTTGTGGTAACCTGTTTGCTTCTGGCTAGCTACCTGCTGCGTGCACAGAAAACATGATGGGATAAAAATGGATTACATTTTTAGTCTTGTAATTTGGAATCTGTACCAGTTTACTTTTCTGAAGTTATCTACCCACCACTGGTTATACACAGCACCAATAGTTAAGCGTGTATTTTACACAACACAAATTTAAAAAATACACAGTGAAATATTTGTGGATCACGGTACATATCTGTGGATTGTCTTCTGTGAGGTAAAAATAATTTAGTCCAATATGTACTTCCATATAACTGTACCCAGGCACGGAAACACAGACAGACACGACATCATTGATGAGACCGATACACATCAGTGCTGAGTCGCAAGAGGATAAGCAGATTTTTTTTATATTCAGAAAGTGGTGAAAATTGCCGAGCTTGCCAAGCACAAATTAGCAGAATAAATGTTATTCTGTAGAATAAGGCTGGATGATAAAACAATAATGATAATAATCAGGATATAATTTTCTTCAATATCAATATGCCAAATGCTCAATAAAAGTTCAGTATAATTTAAGACAACATGCTAATGGTGTCACACCCAGCTCTGTACGATCCTTGTGTGCCACGCCCCCTCATTACCTCATGTCAATTCCTGGTTGTGATCACCTGTGTCATGTTATTTCTGGCTAGTCTTGTGTATTTAGTCTGCATCTGAGTACGTTTCGTCAGATCCGTCATTGTATTGTCTTGTATTGTTCATGCCTGTCAACCCTCCGTCTACCAATAAACCTTGTTTGTCCGTCTTCACGGCTCCGCTCGCCTGCTTGCCGGTTCGCCTGCCCCGCAACCCTGACAGAATGACAGATCTCCGTGAAAACACAGCGCAGCAGACCGAGCACCAGCGGCTTGGTCTGCTGCAAAAGGCTGTGTATTGGCACTCCCAGCCAGAGGTACAAGAGGATCCCGTAGCCCTGGAACTGGCCACCCGGGGCGCAGACCTCCTTGCGGAGGAGCGTCCACCCGGGCAGCAGTACCCCCTTCAAAGGGTACACAAGTGCCTCTGACGCTTGAGAGAGCGTCTCTCCCAGCGGAGAGCAGAACGCATCGCAGGAAGCCTGGGCGACGTGGCCAAGCCGGTTCCGCCTACCTCCGCGAAGAGGCGGAAAAATAGAGGGCAGCAGCACGATATTACCACGCTCTTCCTCGGAGCCTGCTCTCTTGGACCCGCCTTCGTTCCCACCAGTGCCTGCAGGGCGCTACCTCTGAGCAGCCTCGCCGGGGAGATGCCACATCCGTTGGAGGCGTACCCTTACCGGCCGGCGTGCCTAGCCGGTAAGTGGATCAGCCCGGTGAGGGACGCAATTCCGCGTGTCCCCAAAGCCCTTAAAGGGGCAACGCCGGTACCTGAACTGCCTGTACCTGCCCTGCCTGAGCTGGTCTTGGTGGCACCCCCTGCTGGCCAGGAATTGGTGGTGCTCGCTGCAGCTCCAGTCCTGCCCGTGGCTCCGGCTGCACCGTCTGCGGCCACGCCCGCGGCTCCGGCAGCACCACTGGCTGCCTCGTTAGAGGCCCTGACTCCAGTCCCCCCAGCCCTGGTCCCAGTTCCCGAGGAGGTCCCAGACAGCACAAGCACCGCTCCGTCCTCCTTGGCAGAGGAGGAGCTCGAGTGGGACCCCTCGGGGACCTCCCTATGGACTCCGGCTCCCTTGCCCAGCCGGGAACAACGGCCTGTAGGACCCCGCCTGTCAGTGTCCCATAAGGGACGGGGCCACAGGCGTCGGGCCCGGTTCCTGCCCGCCCTGCCCCCTGGCTCACCCTCGCCCGCCTTGGCTGGGGCTCCGTGGTCGCCTGCTGCGTCTCCGGCTCGGGGTCGGCGGTCGCCTTCGGGTCCCCCCCCGGTGCCTCGGTGCCAGTCCTCGGCGTCGCCTCCGGCTCCATGTCGGTCGCCTCCGGGCCCCCCTGCTTCGGCGGGGCATCGGACGGCACCGTCTCCAGCCGCGGCTTCCCCTTCCTGCCTGCCTTCACCGGTGTTCCCTCCTGCTCCCTCCGTGTCCCCTCCGTCTCTCCCTCGTCCCGTTCCCTCGGCCCCTGTGTGGTTCCCTCCTGCTCCCTTCTCCCTCCGGCCGCCGCCCGCCTGGGCTCCCTCGGGCTCCCTTTTCTCCCCCTTCCGTTCCTGTCTGGTCTCCCCTGTCTGCTCCTCCTCCCTTAGTTCTGCCTGTCTCTGCTCCTCGTCCCTCTGTTCGTCCTCCGGTCACTCCTGGCCCTTTTGTTCCTCCGTTTTCTGTGCCCTCCGTCTTGCCCTTTCTTGTCTGCCTGTCTGCGTTCCCTGTCCTTTGTCGGGTCCTGTCTTTCTTTTTGTCCTTGTTCCTGTTCTGTGTCTCTGTCCTGTTTCCGGTGTTTCGATGTTTTTTGCTTTTGTCTTCCAGGTCCTGTTCCCCGGTCTCGTCTCGTCCGTCGCCTCCCCTCGGGTGCGCCCGGTGTGCACGCATTTGGGGGGGGTTCTGTCACGCGCAGCTCCGTACGATCCTTGTGTGCCACGCCCCCTCATTACCTCGTGTCAATTCCTGGTTGTGATCACCTGTGTCCTGTTATTTCTGGCTAGTCTTGTGTATTTAGTCCGCGTCTGAGTACGTCTCGTCAGATCCATCATTGTATTGTCTTGGTGTTCACGCCTGTCGACCCTCCGTCTACCAATAAACCCTGTTTGTCTGTCTTCACGGCTCTGCTCGCCTGCTTGCCGGTTCACCTGCCCCGCAACCCTGAGAACTGGTTACATCACAAAATGAGATCACACTCTCTGTGATTACTTGTCAAGACTGGCCGTAGAGCACAAGCAGTTGTGAAAAAAAGAGAACTTAATAGACAAATAAAAGAATGCAATATGGCAGGTAGGCAGACGACAGATAAAAGTCAAAACAGGGCAACTCACCGGGAGAGCAAGTACGTCCAAAGCAACCACCAACACCAAAACATAACATATGCAGATATAACCAGCAACATTGGTGTACACCGTTTTTTTCAGCAGGGATATGTTATTTTATAGTTAGGTTAACCTAAATTATCCTAAAATGTAGAGAATAGTACAAATAAACCATTCAACAGGTAGGCTTTTCCAAATTTTGGCTGGCAATGTATGCATTATAATATTAAAATATAAAACATTAATATTATGTTATATTGTCCTGTATCCCCTGGATTTCCCACAAATATCACAAAAATTAAAGAAAGATGTTACAGTTTTCCTGTTCAGTTTTAGAATAGGAAAAACATGAAGCCTGTTTTTCCTTTTCCCCATCCTGATTTAAAACAGTTTTTTTTGTTCTTCCCGATCTGGTTATGAAATGCAAAATTCAAAGAATGAAAAAGACACGGATTCAATTAGACGAGCATTTTGATGTTCTTGTTTCCTTCATGGAAAGATCTAAAAACAATACACAAATGCTAGGTACCATTATAACATATCATGTGTGTCATCAGTGTACCTAGTGCTCAGTACAACACAAAAAGGGGTTTCAAGCAAGTGTAACCACTTAAAATGGCATTTTTTAAACATAATACATTCTAATGTACAGAATTTTAATAAAATACTACATTTAAAGATCACAATGCTGTCCCCTAAATATTAATCAATTGTAACTTTAACTCTTATACTTTTCCAATATCCTTTCAACTAGTAGGTTTTACCCATGTAAGCAATTAATTATATTACAAATATTAGATACAGATATACAGTAGGTTGTGGAATTTCTTCATAAGTTTAGAATTTAGAATTAAGTGATTGTTATTGTTGACACACCACAGCACACAGTGTGCAACAACGAAATGTGTTCTCTGCATTTAACCCACATGTGACAATGTGACATAGCAGGAGGCAGCTAATTCAGCGCCCAGGGAGCAGTCCTTGGGCGTGGTACCTTGCTCAGGGTACCTCAGCGGTGCCTTGCTGGTGGGTGATTCGAACCTGCAATCTTTCAATTACAAGTGCGCTTCCCTAACCATTAAGCCACCACTGCCCACAGGTGTTTGGTACAGGTATGCCCATGATTTTTTTTTTCTCCAGGGGAATCTGAAAGGGTGACCTAGGACATCTCTGTCAAACTGGGTGATTTGATGTGAAATTACTATTACAAGTAGGGCTGGGATGATTATTCCACATAATCAACAATGTATATGTAAAACTAAGTGAATGTTTTGTAACAAACGTATTGTAAGGGAAAGTACTTTATCCCCACGGGAGCACGTTAACACTGTCATTTTTAAGAATCCCGCAATAAAACAGTCTGCTAATAACCAGGGCTGTGGAGTCGGTAGATAAACGCTCCGACTCCGACTCCTCAGTTTCTAAATCTTCCGACTCCGACTCCTCA